TCTCTCTCTCTCTCTCTCTCTCTCTCTCTCTCTCTCTCTCTCTCTCTCTCTCTCTCTCTCATCGAAGTGAGAGGCAGTTCTTTCTCGGAGAAAGATCGGCTCAATGTCAGCTTCAATTCATTCGAGTTCATCTCTGCTTGGATCTTTCAAATCATCGTTACTAACTTTGTGTATTCTTTCTCAAACTTACTAGTAAAGCATAATTCTACGCGAAAGTACACCAAGAAAAATATCGCTTTGACATATTGTCCATGCATACGCAAATTCTTGTAAAAGATGGCTGTATATGTTTAGTCGGATTTCAAAGAACTTTAAAATCGACTTTGTGCCAAGAAAAACTCAACTTGAACAGTCTTACTTCTTTCAACATAATACCCATCTGTAATATTTTTAATGCATAGACTAGCAGAGGCTGCATAAAATCTCTTTGTACTCTTTAAACAGAGAATATCTTCTATTTATTAATTTATCTCGGATTTTTATACAATAAGTGCAACAATTTGCAATCAAAACATTCAAAGACATTTGAGAGATAACAATAAAATTTTCATTTAATCAGTTAAGTAATCGCGAAATCATTGGATCCGACAACGAAATTATGAATATGCATTTTCTGCGTATATCATTTACGATAAAAAGGAAAATGTGCTCTTGGCAAATTTGTAAAAGTACGTTATTTCTTTTCCATTCTCATGCCAAAGAAATGAGAATCCTATGCCATTTTCATTTATAACCAAAAACTCACAGCGTCATTAGCGAGATCCTACGTAACAATAGCGCGTTAAATGTTCCGAGAAGTTAGACGTAAAACAAATTTTGACAAATGTTCTGCATGCCAATAAGCATTGAAAAATTCGACCAACCCGTCTTGTTACCAATTTTTTCACACAATGTTCCGTATTTGTGTAAAAGTAGTTACGATATTAAGTTACGAAGCATCATTGAGCTGACGCAGCTACTATTTGTAACGAAAAGCAGCAAAATAATAAGAATAAACTTTAAAAAAGAAATTAAATGATAAATTTTCATTTTATTTAATTATGTTAAGGATAATATATATTTTTTCAAAACAATGAAAAGGAACTAATAAAAAGTTATGAACAAATTAACACTTTTATTTATATCACTTTGTTATTGACTGCAGCAAAGAAAGCAATTATTATAAAATTCTTTAATATAATTGATTTATACATTTAGATTCAGTGAGGAAAGAGCAACATCAATCGTATTAAAGAATTTTACAACAGTTGTAAAGCTTTCTTTGTTGAATGCAGCCCTTGTAAATGCATGAATCAATAGTATTATTACTGGAAAATAGTACATGTTATAAATTTATTATCGCTCACCATGGTCGTCTTCGTAGATGATCACCACCTTGGTCCAATTAAAGAACTCCATGATGTCCTGATAAGCGGTGTTGAGCAGACTTTGTGCGGGATAAAGATTAATGCTGAACTCTTTCGCTTCCGTCTCCAGGTCCAGCCTGGCCTCGAGATGTGGAATGTCGAGAGCGTCGCAGATACTGTGAATATGTTGACCCAGGATCGGATCCGAAGGTCCGAAGACCGCCTGGACGCCGTGCTTGACTTGCTGGCACGCTGCAACAAAAAGTGACATGCGCGTTTTAGCACGAATAGCTTTTTTGGCAAATTTGTTGAGCAAGTAAGATGGTAGCAACGTATACTAACAACTTGGCAACAAACTTGATTCGAGTATAACTTGGCAACTCTGCGTCCGTATTAACGAGCGATAATTCAAGCGGATACTCTCGAAATGAATTTTCGAAACTCTGATTTTAATTATCCGGAGAAAAATCGCGAGTGTAATGCTGCTATTAGTTTAATCAAGTTTTTCCTTCTTTTACGTAATTAACGTTTCTCCATCCAATCTCCTTCCCGTTCTCGCGACGAGAGAAAAGAAAGCGATTAACTCGAAATTACGAGTTTTCCCCGTACCGTTAATGCCGACATAATAATGCCGTGTCACGGTCGATAATCCACCCCAGAGCATGGCCAAGAAAACCGCCGTAAATTGAGGGTAACGTCGCATTAACGCTACACTACGTGTAAAACACGATCGTGCTATTCGCCCTCCCTTACGCCACTTTGAGACTATTGCGCGAGCATAAGGGTCAGTTGTTGTACGTACAGAATAACCGAACCTGAAACGTACTGGCACACCCGACGTTATCTCGTGCAAGTTCCAAGTGTTACCGCACGTCCGGCCAACGTTAGACAACCGACCGACCCAGAGTTACTCGGCCATTGCTTCACCCGTCCACAGGAACAAACCCGCCTGCACGCTTGTGTCTCTGTCGCCAAGTTAATTTACGTTGTCACACGCGGACAGAAATCGATTTTCGGAGCGTGCCGAACTCCGAAGTTACCACCGCGTCTGGGAAACAACAAGACAACGTTAGTTAGATCAAGTGCCACGAATAACGAATCTCGGTAAACGTGAGCGCTATCGCACTTCCGGATTGCTCGCGAGTTACAGCGCGTAGTGCAGCGTGACGATTGTCACGTGAGAAGCTGCAAGGAATTGCGAAGCAAATAGAAGAGATATGCGCAATCTACGTAAACGCGTAAATGCTGAAAATGACGCTTGCCAAGCTCTTGTTGTATATACCGTTATATACCGTTGGGGTAAAATCTGTAAAATCATGTAAACATTTAATTACCAAAAATTTTTATTAGTACAAGGTGACAAGAAAGTTTGATCACAAAACGTTGTGTCCATCAAATTTATATTAGTAACGTATATAATATTTATAAAAAAAAATACTTTGGAGCATTAGTTATATTTTATTAAATACCAAAAATAAATGATTAACATTCAAAATAGTCACTTTTAGATTTAATATATTAAGCTTTATATGTTATTAATCAGATAACAAGCTGATGTCATTTATTATCATGACATTAAAATAAATCGAAATTTTAATGTCATAATAACATCAGTTCGTTACTTGAGTAATGATTTGACACATAAAACTTTGTGGTAAAATTTTTTTATCTTATAGAGTAATGCAGTGATAAATAAATGTTTAGGTTTATAGAAGCTATTAGCAATATAGATATGGTAAAGCTTCTTTCGGGTTTCAAAAATGCTCTTTTCATGATAGATGATTAAGCCGTCTCGTACAGTTATCTCTGATTATCACAAGAGAACAGTGGAAAAGATCAACGAGAAGCTGGAAGCCAGCGAGTAATGGCTTCTTGTGCAGTGAGATAATGGGTTTTCGAGGTTCCATTATCATTCCACGTTACGGTGGTGATATCGCCGTCATTATATGCGGATTACAACAATCCGGATGGTTCCTTTCTTTACAGTTTCTTTTTCGTTTCTAATGACACCAGTAATACAAAGCTGCGAAGAAAATACTGAGCAATTAAAATAAAATTTAATACGAATAGTTAATAGTTCATAGCGTTTCAATGTCAAATTAAAAATTTGTCGTCGATTTAATAGAAGAAGTATTCGCATTTCACAAAAAATATATTTATGAAATAATTTTTTTCGTCACTTCAGTGTAAGATCTTAATAATAAATAGTTCGCTCGCGAAAATATTATATGTAATTACGTTATGTTTATCTAAAGACAAGTATAATGTAATTAAGAAGCAAAATTATCAAAAAAGAAATGTTTTTTTTTCATTTATATATGTATAAACTTATATATGAATTTATTTAATTTATTGCGTGTTTAATTAATTTAACATTTACAGCATTTCTGTCTATATATTTTTAAATGCATTGCTTCAATCTACTCAGCATTAAATTTACAAATTATTAAGCCATAGTAAGCACGTGGAGGTAAATGGTTAAGGCTAAAATAAACTTTCAGTCGATTCGTACTGGCGCTCAAAGGGCAAAGCGTGGAAAAATCAAGTTGGCTGTAAACGAGTCTCTCTCTCGAAAGTAAACGAGGTTTAATTCGTT